AATAAATGGCAGTGGATTAGGATGTAAAGAAAGCTGTGTGATTGCATCATCATAACCGATCTTCAATATCACCTAATGTCTTCAGTCATTAATTTACGAGTACAAAGTTAAGACCCGATTTATAAGCTTTGGTGCGTAACTCTGGTCCTATATACAACCGAATAAGCAAGTGATAGAATTTAGTCTTCGGAGTGTAAATGCAACAAGGATATCATTCCTATTCGAATGGCATGACATATTTAAAATTTTTAAATCTTATTATGATTTGAAAAAGCAACTCAACTCAGTACGTGTTTATGTATGAGGCAATGAACTACACATAGTGTGAGAGCTTATGCACTATCTAGTTGCACAGGCCAAAGTATTTATCGTTGAACTCATATCCGTCGGTCGAAAGTCGAATGATTACATCAATGAACCACATCCTCACTAACTATCCGGAACGAAATATCTAGTCTAAGTTGGCTGATGGTATTAAGCACATATGAGAAAACGGGGGGCGGGAGAATTTTCATGGCAACTCAGAAGGTGGCAAGTGACAGCATGCATCGCTGGCTTTTGTTTTCGTCGTACTCCTCCGTATTTTAGTGAGGCTACCTTCTGTTAGATATTCTGTCAGTATCCTTCGAGTTGCCGTTCAAATATCGACCTAAGAAGTGATTTTTATGTCACCTCTACCGACAGTATTAGTTTTTATCAATAACAGTTCGAAATTTCAATCAACACTTTAGATTATAAAGCTATCTTCTCACTTATGTTTTTGTTATCTACCTTATAAACCAGCTCATAAGGTCTTAAATAAAAAACACAATAAACATGGAATCTTATTTCTAAGTGCATTAGCTTGAGTCTCTAGAATTCAGAACAACAACAAAAAGGAAGTGCATCAAAAAGTGTTAAGGTGAGTAAAAAAGTATGGCAAAAGAGAGAACTGATGAATGAAGGTTATTAATAATGTGAGTAACATAAGAGTCAGACGTAGAGTTTTAGACAAGAGAGGTAAGACAGTTGATGTGGTTGTGTACCTTCATCGACTGCGATGGATGTCGGGGACATGTGTTACGTGTGTCTAATCACCGTTTACCTCGTTACACAATGTTAGCTGAAGTAAGTTCAGGCTGGCAAAAGGCTCGGGGCGGCCAGACTAAAACATAACATCAGTGCATGAAGCCTTTGACTGTTGGTTTGAACCATGCAGGGCGATGTGGATTACGTGGTTGGGGTCCGTGAGACAAGAGAAACCAGTGGTTCGAGACCCTAGGTGATGTATCATGTCTCAGAATCGGTGTAAGTGGTGCGGATAGATACACACATCTTATCATCTCATTCTTCTTCTCTTCTACTACTTTCCACTTCTTCCGACCGGTTTTGTTTCCTTCTTCATCTTTCTTTTTATTGCCTTGTCACTTGATGTGCTGATATGAGGTGTGGTAACTTTGACCGTTGTGCAGTCACTAATGTCTGGTCTTATGTTGATCTTGATGATAATGATGAATAATGTTGGGAATTTTGAATATTGTAAGAACTTGGTATTTATGCACCATTATAAACAGCTCTGAACAATATAACCGAAATTCTCTGACTAATTATTCGTAACATCTCGAGGACTTCTACCAACCAGATACCTTACACTTTGCTACACAGCTAAAAAAATGTAGTCAGTAACTTCATGAATCTGTCTGGCCACTCATCCTTACTTCTCTTTCAAACTAGTCCTGCTTAGCACCTGAACGTAGATATTAAGAATAGCAAAAATCATACTGTTTTTCGGATTATTGTGTAAAAACCAATTTAAAACACATCTGTTCTTTATGCTGACTGCGAAGTGGTTATAACATAGCTAAATTAGAAAGGTAAAAATGATACTTGTGTGCCAGTTGTTGGATGAAAAGTCCATAGTTTCACTCCGTTGCACTCAAAAAGTCTACTATATTAGAGGATAATCCCATAAAAGTCATATATGGTTGTGAGTCTAGGAATTTACTGTCAGTTTGCAGCATTTTATAGCTCGTAAGAAACACTCATCTTATCAACTGCATCAGTATGCAGAACTCAAAGAGAATTATGTAGCATATGCTAATTTTCTCCTACACTTGACTAAAATTCGAAACTGAGTGTTCACATTAAGTGTATGATAGGTAAGCAAACAAAATTGATGTGGAACTTCACACACAAGTGCATTGGTTCAACTTACCACTCTTCGCAGTAGTATATAAAAAACAAGTGGATAGAAAATAACTGATATCAAAGTAGACAAAGTTGTGTCAGAAAATAAGCAGTTTGAACATAAAGGTTGACGTAAATATTCAAGACGTCAAGTAGGGGATACATCTGCGCCACTCTGACCAATTTTCAGCCATGTGTATGTGTAACACTATATCTTTACTAATTTTTGCCGTATATAATAATTCCATATTGAAATATCTGATTACTTTCTTCACTGAACGCTTCTGAAGAATCACTACCTCCTCGTATCAATACGACTTTGAATTGTATTGGTGATTTTCGAGTGTGAAAACTATGAATCAATGTTTTCTGTCGATGATTATTTAAATCAACTTGTAGGGAAATGAATTAGATTGTAAATCTCTCTTCATGTGTCAAAGACTCTCTACTGTAGTCCTGTTTAGTTCGGACTTACAGCATTATACTCAACCCTAACATTTGCAGTCAACAACTACTGAATTTTATGTACGATCATTAATCATCATCTCGTTAGCTAACATCTATCATAAGTGCCCTAAATTGACTAAAGCTGGATGAGCTTTCCTCATCTGTGTCCGGGTAAATAAAGCAGTCAGATATTTTGCTTTTAAAATCCTCAAATGTCGGTCTGAGACATCTAAAAAGTTCCAAGCTATCCGGTTGGGATCTTTGAGATGACGTGAATCAATGCCTGAAGACTGGTTTAAAAAAAAAGCTACAATGATGCAGAGACTTACACTCTTTAGTGTCTTCGAAGTCTTGAACATTTTCACTAATCTTCATTTATTTATGCTCTAGCCTGTCTTATACTTTTGTCAGGTTGAATGTCATTTCTTTCCTGTCCACTTTTTTGCATGATGTTGTGAAGTGTTATAATTTTCAAGTGATACAATTTTCTGTTTGGTTCTTCGTTGATTGCCTGTCTACAAAGAACCTCGAAAAAAAGTGGAATAGTTTCAATTACGTTACTGTAATCCACCTTAAAACATAGACTGCTAAAAAATATGCAAAAGTGTGTTATAGAGTTGCCTATAAGCATATAAAAAGATAGAGGATAGGTAACTAAAAACCCATAAAAGGTTCAAGATTTTGAAGATGATAAATAATAAGTATGTATACCTGTGTCATTATGATCACTGCTTAGCTGTTTCATCCATAATACCTATATTAAATATATTTGGTCACAACAGCTCAGATTACTTCTCATCGTCTACACCTTTGTCTACTTGGATATCAGTCTTCTATCCAGTTGTTCTTCTCATGCTACTGTGGTGTAGCAAATCAAACAGACACATTTGTGTAAAAGGTTCTACGTTGATTTTGTTTTTGCATTTAGTTGACATCTTCAACAAACACTATTGTGTCATCTACATACTGAGAATCAGTTAGACGATCTTATAAGGCTTTGGTTTCTAGAATTTCACAAAGTGCAGGATTTAGTTTGATCAATATATGAACCGACCACATGGAAATTTGTTATTCTGCTATAGCCTATCTGATGTCCTTTATTTGCCTAATAAATACCAGGTTAATTGACCCTGTCGATAAGTAGATCTGTGAATTTCATACCATCAAAAATATATACTGCAGCCTTTTTTTATTGGTCCCTAAAAGTCATCTGCCATCTTTCGGTTTGTCCTTATGTTACTTTTTTTTTGTGGCACTAGTATGTTTAGGAAGCGACCTTGTTTAGTTTTCATTATCAGCTTCTTATCTAAGGGAATCGAATTTAAGTAATCCATGAAATCATCTATGGTTGCTCAAGGTGGTATTCCTTTCACCTTCTTATCAACTTTGTACAACTTTCTTTGCATGATTTTGATGGCTTTTTTTTGTTCCTCTTTCAAAGCACTTGGACGTTATTTAAAAAAGGATATAGAGAGTAGATTCTTTGTACTTTGACTCGGATCTTTTTAATCAGTCGTGTTAAGCAAACGTTTCAAGCGATGTACATCAGTCTAGAGAGTTGTAATAGGTGAAAAAGAAATCCATCAGGAAATACCCTACTGCCGAAACTTTAAAAGGTGTCCACTTACTTCCTACGTATCAAGAAGATAAGTAAATTGGACATTTAAAAAGAAATTGACAAGTCTTGTATACTACTGGAAGCGTGCCGTTCACACCGTGAAAGGCTAGTTCTTCTTGAGGTACCTGAAAAAGAAGGGATAGCGTGACTGCAAACCCCAATGGGGCATGTGCTTCATGCTAGTCATACAAGTTTGAGATCTTGGCTTTTTGATTTCGAATCCGACTATGAATCTCTGTTGCAGGTAACGATATACTGTGAAGGTGTAGGAGTGTGCTATTTTTGGGGTCGACTTTTTTCTAACTCCCTCTCCCCATAGGGAAATCAGTCTGGCGCTTCTAGTTATTAAAGGGAAACACCTTACTGCTGTCATACCCTTATCTAGTCAGCAGTAGAACTTCGCCCTTAGACCCTCATCTTGTCTTAGTAAGTTACATGATAATGATAACAGCTTTTTGTCTAAACACTATCCAATATACCTTTCTGGTATGGTAGGACCTTGAAGGAACAAGCATCCCACTAGCATAATTGAATATTTATAACATTGTATTATTCACTAACATACCGAGTATATCCAATGCTTATCTACGTGTTCAATTTTAATGATACGTTGTATTTCGTTTTCACTTTAGGTTGTTCTCTCCTCTTCGTTTTATTCATTTGTCCATCATTAATCGAGCAGGTGCTCTTAGAAAATTTCTAATATTTTATCTGCTACAGGGATTCGATTGCTGTTTTATATATACATACACATAAGAAGATCAATCCTATGGATGATCTTCAAAATACTGTTGCCTTAATGGCAACAAAATTATCTGTACATAATAATTCAAAGCCATTAACCAGTACAGAAACTGTTACTGTTCGCTGCCGTCATGTTATCAAACAAATTCCTAGACGTTATGTTACAGCTTACATCTTATCATTAGCACAAAAACAATGCTTAAACCTGTAAGTTGTTTATCAGTTACAGGTTTTCTTTATACCTTTATTTCTTTTTCTAGTGAAAAGGAGAGTTTTTCATTTTTGAGTTACGTCCCAGAAGTATGGACAAATTTAATGGATATTTTACGATCTATGAATACTGGTAAGTAAAAGTTATTATTAAGTGAGATTGATTATTCTCAGCATATTGTTCTTATTATGAACCGAAATCATTTAGGAAAATCGATCGAAAACAAGTAATACTGGATCTATGTTTTGTCCTAGTTTAGAACCTGTCGACAGTACATCCTCCATACTCTGTTGTAGATCAAACTAAAAAAAATAAATATATTTCTGTTCTCATGGTCATAAATACACAAGTACAAACGGCGGATTCAGTCACCCTGTGCACATCTATGCAGTAGGCAGTGAGCCACACCACTTGTGTGGATGAAAGCCATTGATGATGATACTACCTTGGTGTAGGGTTCGATGTCATTCATGGAGATTTGTCCTCCAACTGTTTATAGTTTCCTATCAGAAATTCATAACTCTCATTTTGAAGTAGATCACTTATATGCAGCAGATTATCATTTGGCACAAAGATGATTCATTTGCATAGTCTACCACTTATTCATGGGAATTAAAGTCGATATCACAGCACATTGCTGATGATCTTCCAGACATAGGTGTATGTTATCTTGGAATACCAGACAGATGGTTCATGGTTTTGTAAGTTATTCAAACGTACAGCTGATCAATTCATAAACGTGTAGGACATTGTAGCATAGTGATTTTGTTGTTGTCTTCGTATATTCGGAGATTTTTAGGTAGAGATGTGTAATAATCCAGGTGTTTGTTCATGAAATCTTCGACTATTGATCTGAGCCGTGTAGGAGAATGTAGTTATGCCGGCTGAGATTTACGAAACAACTGGAATTTTAAGTGTCTGAGTGAACGATATTAACGTGATAAGGCGCTTGGTGTGGATACAAATAGCAACTGTTCTCCTTCGGTACCTTATACTATACTAACCCATGAAGATATCAGACGACAATGACTGGTCTGTGACTGTATACAAGACGCTTTATTTAACAAGGATACGCCACTTATAAACACTTTTAATGAATATATAAAACCTCTAGGTCAACAGTTAAGTAGCTTAGTCCGATTGGTCAACTGTAGATTAAAATTGTCCAATAAGGCTTTTCTTAACCACACAGTGACATGAAACAAAAATTAAAATCCAAAACGTTTAACTTACCGACTGATAACTTAAATTCATGGTTGAACACTTTTCATGTTATGACTAAGAATCGACCTGCAGTGATTAAGAAGCATGCAAACCTTATTTTCATCTTGGCTGTTATGTTACATTCTGATATTTGCATTAGTTTCTCTTTTTTGTTCGGTGGTTTTCTTATTTGACGTATGGGGCAACCTGGTCCGCTACGCTTCAATATCGACTACGGAACTGGCTGTTTAAGGAATTTTAAGTAGACTAGACTAGATTGAGTTCAGTTACAACATTTGAAAATGAGATAATGTAGTAAGGCGATAGACATATATCGAGTGTATGCGAAAAATAAGTAGGATGGAAAGACGTTAGGAAAGATAGTGAAGAATTTTAAAATCCAAGAGAGAGCTGTACTTTTGAACATGTGTTTCGCACCTGTCAAATGTAAAATAATGCTCCAGGACTAGATTTCAGTTGCTCCCAGTTTAATGATAGAGGGGTGGGTGGGAAGTGGTGTAATGTGTTGATCACTTCACTTACTTGAGGAGTTGCATCAGCCCGAACGGGCTTCTTGTTGTCAACTTACCTTATCTGTGGCACCGGCTGGCAAGATATCTAACTATCTATCAAAGGACGAGTATATTGTGCTGCAGTCCATATTGTTCTCTTGTATGGGTGTAAGACATGGCAGGTGGAAGTAAACGACACAAAGAAGTTATAGGGTTTTGATCACAGGTGTCTTCAGAACATTCCTCACGTATGCTGGAATCACTGTATGAGTAATGTTGAAGTCAGGCAAAGGATACTAGACAAGATGGGCAAGTTGATTGATGAAGTTGTGAACCTTCATTGACATGTGCTGCGTATGCCGAGTCATCGCCTACCTCGATGTCCCATGCTAGGGAAAAGTGGATTAGGTTGGAAGAGGGTTCAGGATGGCTAAACCAAAGCCTAACATCAGTCGATAAAATCTCTAGCTATTGTTTTGAGCCGTGTGATGAGATGTAGACCACCACCTGGTCGGGGTCTTCAAGATGTAACAAATCAGTGGTTGAGGACTATTGGTGATATCACTGAGAATCGGTCACAATGGCGCCAATATATTCAGTCTTCGATAGCCTGGAAGGTTCTACGTTCATTTTATCTGTCTGTCTGTATATACTTTTGGAGCGCTGTTGAATAAAGTATATCTTATCCCTCTGTGAAAATGTTTATTGTTAGTTTAGCTATCTTCGACTAAAGCGAGGATAGAGATTAGTTTTTGTCATAATGCGCACTTAATTCATCCACAGTAGCGTATAGTTTATTCAACTTATCAATGTGTTTACATCATACAAGAGAATATTGCTGTATTTAACAAAACACATGTGTCCTACAACTAATGACAAAACTTTACATTTTTCTGGTTTTATCAATTAACTTTCTGATAGATAATGGGAAAAATGTAACTTCTAGATTCTGTTATACAAGAATTCTAATTAACCCGTTAAGGCACTTTTCTCTGTATGTCTATGCCAATAAGAGTTTTAATACAATTTCCAAATTCTCTTCAATTGGCATACGCATATTTCTCCTTATAAGTTTGTAAAGAACAACAATTATCAGTTACTCATTAGCTGCGGGAGTACACAAGACATCCACCTGAGACTGATCACATAACCTTTCTTATAATTTGAAGTTTAACTTTGACTGACGTAAATCTAGCGTAACACAACGCATACTACCATCACCTTAATACCTTAGACTAATAGGGAGTGTACTATTTTTAAGTTGACTTTTTCTGAACCTCCCTCTTCACTTCACATTATCTACTACTGGACATTTGCGGTAAACACTTTTACTGCTGTTACATGTTCGTTTAACTAGCAGTACGATTTCACCCTGTAACCCTTATTATAATGTATTCATTTACGTTGTAACGGTAACAGCATTTTGTCTTACCATTATCTAATCTACCATTCTAGTATGGTACGGTATAGCCCGCTAGGTGATTGTGCTTTGCAAGTGTCACTTTCATGTTTAGGTACCAGCTATCAGTGGGGTTTAAAACAAGAATATAAAGACTATAATGGAAGTTTAGAAAAGCACACTTAACGTCACTGAATATAGGTTCGGCCAGAAGTCAAGCATAACAGATTACGTAATCTTTCTTATTGTTAAGCGCATATTTCTAACTTTAGCTCCTACTTTTTTTCAATCAACCATCGTATTTATTCATGATCTCTAACTTATGCAATGTTAACTTCTGTTCATCGTAACTATTTTTTAAATCTTTCAAACCTGGCTCCACGACAGCCCACAAGCTCTCATTTCCTCCTCGCACTATCTCCTCTATGTCACCCTCGCTTCGGACGACCAACTCGTCGTTTCCCATCTGGGTTTCACTTGAGCAACTGGTCTGACGCGTGATGTCCCTAGTCGGCCTTCTCAGTGTATGCCCAATCCATCTCCACTTACTTCCAGTGCATATTTGTTGAGCGGTAGGTTTTCGGTTGGTTCGTTGCCAGAGTTCCTTGTTGGTTATTCTTTCTGGCCATCTGATCTTCAGTAACGAGACAGCGTAGGCAGCAGCTGTTGATGAATGTCTGTAGTTTGTTGGAAATGCCTTTCTTAACGCTCCAAGTCTCTGAGCCATACAGAAGCACTGACTTGACGTTGGTGTTGAAAATCCGGATGTTGTTGCACATGCTGAGTGCAGAAGATCTTCACACTGGTTTCAGGTTAATGAACGCCTGTCTTGCTTTTCCGATCTTGGCTTTGACGTCCTCGTCTATGCCGCCTGTAGTTGAAACGATGCTGCCTAGATAGGTGAAAGAGGCTATTTCTTTTAAGTTTCTCCTGTTGATGGTGGTTGCGTGGGTTGGGTATTTTCATCACCTCTGTCTTCTCTATATTCACTTGAAGAAAACGATGGGCCGACCACTTGAAAAAGCTTATCTTCAGTAAATTATAAACTAAGCTTAAATTTTAGACGATAAAATATGCCCATTGAGTCATACAGAAAAGAAGAGATAAGAGTCTATTATTAAACAATAGGGTATAATTGCATCATTAATCTAGTGCTAAAAGAAACTGGAGTCAAGGATGGAAAGTAGTTGCGTAATAATCTTTTAGACAGTGAAAATAACGAGGAATAATAATAAGTAAATAAATATCTTTATTCTCAAGTTATGAATCGAACATGAGAGAAGCCAGTTTACAGGCCTCATCAAATTGATAATTGCAGAGAAACATAAAAGGTTTTAGCAGTATTGAATGGTACAGAGGGATGATACCAAGTGTCTAATTGTTATGAAAATATCACTTTACAGTACATACACATCATTCTGAGTTAAAGTTATTCCTTTTTCACATCAAACGGCGCAGTATTCGGTGTTTACGTTATGAGAAGTCGATATGATTGACCCATTTGCGAAACCCAATCTTTCATCAAATAAACGTCCATTTTAACAGTAATTCTTATGTTCGTGGCTCTGTTGACCAATAATAATTTACTTCAAGAATTTCAAGAATTAGTAAGTATCCATACAATCATTTAATCCAGGTGAATATCTAAGTTCAGGTGTTTCTCACTCTTCAAGTGTTACCTTTCCCAGCAATTCAGATTGGTAGTACTGAAAACATTTGTTGTGGTGTAAGTAATTAAAGATTGGAAGCATCGTCGTTCAACAGTGGTGAATATTACATATGTGTAAAACTCTTCATAGACTTCACATTAAAGTATGCAACATTGTCAAGGAGATACATTGGCTGTTAATTGACTTCTACGAGATGGATTGATACAAGACAAAGTACTAGAGAAATCTGTTGCATAGCATTATTATGGATGTGTTGCCGTTCGGTAAAGTGATCTCTCTGGTTTGATTGTTTATCCAGACTTCCGTTGCATTTGTCACTGACGAGAAATCGGAGACCAGTTATTGTGC